TCCTGGATGAAAAACTTTCTACAGAACTTTTACACAGAGATCAGAGACTTTTTCTTGGGACGTACCACCTGGGAATTTGTGATCCTTGTTCCTACCACAGTTGTATAACTTTAACATCCCACAGAGCTGACAGACTTTGACACTAACAACTGTGCAGGGAGTAAAACAGATTTACAAGTGGCAGTGACCTTTTCATCAAGGGAAGTAAAGTAGACTTGAATCCACCGTACCCCCGACTCACAGTCCTGACAACATCATTCAACATACAGTAGGAAAAGCACTTCAGCAAAAGTTTATGAAAGTGACATTGACACAGCGCAGTACATTAAATGGATCCCACCAACATGCCATGAGTTTTAAGTAGTATCTCTTTTTTTTTTTTTTTTCCAGTGAGATTAGACGTGTTTGCTACTTAAAATCTTTAGTGTATTCTGGTACTCAGCAATAACAATTAAAATGCTGCAGTATCAGTACCTTTTTAGTTATGAACGTACATATTTTGACCATTCTTCTTCCAGTAAAAAAATAAACAAATAGAAACAATCTGTAATTGAATGTTCCTACCATCATTTTGTTCTTATCTTTGACCCCCATACTTCTGTGCAGCATGGACAGGCCTTATTCACTATCTTGGATCTTGTTACCCTAGCAACTAATAGCCAAGCTGCCTTCAAAAAAAATATGGAGGTGGCCTCTCTGATTTTTAAAGGAAATTGACTACTTTAAAGCCAGTGAACACCTGTTTTAATTGCACTGTTCGTGGCTGAGAATCCCTCTTGTCATTTTTTCAGAGATAATAGCAGTTTTACTCAGCTATGTGGTTTACTGCATAGAAGCAGTAAAGCAAAACTTCTTCTGTCAGAAACCTCAAGCATGGCTGGTTTATTCTTAGGTATCTAAAACCAAAAACTAGGTCTGCATCTGCTTATTCAAAATTTTTGCAATTTCAATGTGATTGAAAAGAAAGGCTACTCTTTTAAGCTTCTGTAAGAGTAAGAGCAGTTTACTAAGAAAAGTTATACAGTTAATGAAGATACTCTGTCCTCAGAAGAAAGAAAACTGTTGGACAAATTTATGGTAAAGCAAATTTTTCCTATTGATCAAGCCCTAGAGGGGCATTAACAACACTTAAGGGAACAAACTGCAGAAGATGGCATAACTGACACATAAAAAAGACTCGGCAAGAGAGCTGAGCAGGGCTGGTAGGAAATGGAACACTTTAACATTACAACCCAGTCATACCAAGGTCCATTGACCCTGTACTCATTCCAGATAATTAATTTACAACACATTAAACCTCTGTGTGAAGAAGGATGTTATGCATCAGTTGCGTAGGAATAAAAAGTGTTATTGATTTAAGATTTCTACTGTATCCTGCACTGACAGAAAGAAACAATCTAGTGGTGTTTTAAAGACAAAAAAAAACCTTTTCTGAAGGACAAGTTTGCTAAATAAGTGCACTTTACACTACATTTAACTGAAGTATTGTTGACACCCTAAAATAAATGCTGTTAGGAAAGAAACCCTCAGCATAATTAGGAGACTATGGCATGACTGGATAGTATTGGCATTCGCTCTAGGAATCAAATGCTTGTAGGTGATAATGCTCTCTTTTACAGTAAGAGTTTAAAATAGAAAAACACATTGACAAATATTATTTAATGAATAAAATATGAGTGAGACAAAACCGTTAATACAGTACGATACCTAATGAGAATCAAGCCCATTTTCCTCGTGAAAATGTGCATTGTGCACTTAATGTGTAAAAGAAGGAAATAGTTGCAGACTGGCAAAGTTCTAGGACACAAACCAGGACTTGCTTCAGATTCTTTTTTCTGTAATTAAATTACAATTTTCAGATGAAAATTCAGAAAATTCAGAATTTCAGATGAAATGTAATGTGGCTAGCACTTCTTGCTGCAGTTTCACTTCTCAGGACCTTGGGACACTATTAAAGATTGCCCCGTATTACTCACAGCTTTCAGCAAATATCTGCTTTCAAGCTCCTTTAAAACTCTCAGTGGTTAGAAAGAGATTTGAATCAGTCAACAGGCAATATGCTCCCAATCCATGAAATTCCGTTTCACACAAATAATACAAAGAGAGAAAACACAGAAGGGTCTGGAATTGATCTCAGACTGAACTACAATGATGTCACAATAGGGAGAGAAGTGTTAACTTCCTGGTAAAAGGACAGATTGTGTTTGCAGTTCGGTAAAAAATACCCAGAAAGAGGTTATGGACAATCTAAAATGAAGCCTGAAATTTTGCAATGAAGGGAAGTTATTCCAGCTGAATTGAAACCAATATGGGAGCACTGCAAACAAAATACTACAGTCAGTACAAGTACTAAAAGGCTCATAGCAAAGTGTGAAGAATCTGGGATATAAAAGCAGGAGAGTGCACAAATCCCACAAATGAACTCACACACCAAGGCAGGTAATGTGAACCAAGACAATCCTTAGTGTTCAGAAGATTTAAGAACTGCAGTGTACGTTTCTCTGCAAGAGTTTGTGAGCGTCTGCAGGTAGACACAGTATGGGTAAAGTGTGTGACAGCAGCAATATTAGATCCAGGACTCTTTTATAAAAGTCTAGCACATTGCCTCAGGACATAAAGAAGTGACAGCCTGAAAGCCAGCCGCAGGAACACAAACAATATGAGAGCAGCAACAGGGATACCAGTGCTGCTAGAAAGGGTGCACACATCAGTAGCGAAAAAACTTAAACTTGAAAAAGAAGGAATTAATTTAAAAAAAAAAACTTTTCAGCATTAAACTTGTCTATTTATGAACATCTCCAAGAAATACATGGTAGTTTCTCTCAATGGTACAGTCAAAACTGTAGTCAAGTGCATTATTCATCACGGGTACTAATAAAAAATTTAATGTCAGTGCTCTCAAAGAGTGAAGGGAGCCTTTGGCCTTAGTCTACACATGTAAAAAGTTATGTATCTTATTTATGGAAAGCTTATGTTAACTGAAACTGGCTATAAACTACTTATTGCCATTCCCAAAAGGAATCTGATAAGCACCTTTATCTTACCCTCTCCTGAAACTGCATAGATTATTTCTCAACTATGAATGGTGGATTTACAAACCAAATATAAATCTAAGTGAAATTTGTTGCCTACACATGCACATATTGGAGCCTTTGATACAGGCACTGAATACAGATTAAAGGACACACATACCCATCTGACATCCATCTCCCCTTTAACTATTTCTGGTCTCAGACATGCAAATATGAATAGCAGAAGAATATCAGGGTATTAGCCTAGGTTGATGCACTCCTCACTTTCCTGAGATAACCCTGTATAAAGATAAAGATCCTCCAGTTAGGCTGCAGGGCACTTGTCAGTCCATTTTCATTAGGGCCAATGACGGCAGCTTTGCAAAACATCACGTGTGTGGTTTGCAGTAAGTTGCAGGTTTTTTCTGGTCTGACAGAGCCTTTCTACAAGAAACCATACTTTTACCCAGTCTTAAATTCACACTGAAAAATCACCGTAACCAAAACAATTACAGCAATCAAAAAACAGTATTAGCAGTTCCCTGGTAGGAAGAATTATCTGTGCCATGTTCAGCTGTACACATCTGAAAGACTCATAGCAAAGGTAATAAAATGAAAAGTCTTGGTCAGTCACAGGAACAGACAGAGTGACCCCTATAGAGTATTCCTGCATTTTCTCAAAATTCATTTTCAGTAAGACTGGTACAGGCTAAAGAGGAAGAAAGTTCCTGTTTTATAGCAACCCATGGGCCAGTCTTGACTCTAACTCAGCAACGCAGAAAACCCCTCTCCCAGAAGCCTTGCTGGCCCATCACAGTAACTTCTCAAGTAGGTGAAATCATCACATTTTCCATTCTGCATACACTGAGGCATCCACACTATTTTTATTTTTAGCAACCAAATTATCATTTGCCCAGAGTAAAGGAGATAATTCATTTTTAATGGATTTCAATTCCAGTTAGCTGTTTTGCTGAAATCACTTTTTTTTTCTTTTAAAAAGATAAATCGTTTGGCATTGAAGCTTGAAACATAGCAGTAAACAATAATCGCAATTTTGTAAAATAATTCAAGTAAAAATTTTAAATACTTTGCACCCCTCCTGAAAACTGTAATGAAATGAAAAGCACTTTTTTTTTTCTTCTGATTCTGTACTAAAGATACCTTTTATCTTTTGAGGTCTGATCAGTCCATATAAATATGCCACAATATTATGGACTTCACTAAGTATCTGAAATGATATTTTGGTATTTCTCTGGAGCAAACCTTAGTACTATTTTTTGAAGGGAAAACAAACAAACAAATAAATAAATAAATAACTCTTCCCTCTCTTTCTATAGTGAAAAATAGAAAAAAAAAAAAAAAAGCATATTCTTAATTCGGGTTACAGGTTCAAACACACCAGTCTTAACTTTCTAGAGCTTAAATGGACAAAATGGACAAAGAACAGTAAGGAGAAGCAAAATAAAGTGATTTTCTGTGGGAACATGGTGCACTCGCTGGTGATAGCACCAGAAGAAGAACGTAGGTTTCCTTATGCATTACCCATCTGATGACATTGCTTCTGCAATCCATATCAGATCTGCCTGTTACTTAATAGCTTGTACAATTATATGAAAGTGTTAATAAGTAACCTGGGTGTGTTCACCCTTCACTAAATTATAATCAACAGTTGATTCTATGTTTTACGTTTGTTTTTCTCTCACTACATAACAAAGATAAAGATTTCATATTTAGTACACCTGTATGGATAATTACACTACTATGCTACTCCTATTACCACAGTTAAGGAACTGTTCCTCTTTTCCCTGATTTATATGGCATTACATGGCCTCATAAAGTATTATTATGTCATTATTTAAAATCCTTGTATCCGATAACGTGGTACTGTCAGTCAAATAAGAATTTTGATATTTCCCTTGGCAACAATGGTGGCGTGTTGAGGAAGGTATTGAACAGCTACACCCAGGCACAGATTGCCAGATTGCCTACCTGCAGTTAAGGGACCTGTGCTCCCTCATGCTTGTGCTCCTTCACTCACTCTATGCCATGGTAACCAATGCACATCTCAAAGTATAAGCTTCCAACACACCAAGCTGACTCACAGCAGTTGTATGATTGCACATGCCCTGTAGGAAAAGAAGTCCAGGCAAAGCACCTAGTCCTGAGGAGCAGACAGAGTGAGAGGCCCAAGCTGTTAATCAGGCAAGAAGGTGCAACAGTGGATAAATACACATAAAAGGCTGAAAACAGTCTGAAAATTAAACTTCTAATTTCAGTTAAATATACCGATGTTTTATTTTTGCTTATTCTCTAAGTTACTATTTTTTCACTTTTTTACTGAGAATAAAAATTATTTACATTACAATATTAGCATTTGGTATGGGATTAAATTTCAACTTTACTATCCTTTACTGAGCATTTCTTGCCGTGCTTATTGCCATGGATCAAGAGCCCCTGATTTATCAGACTAGCACTCGGCACATTATTGGTGTGCTGCTGATGTGTAGATGGCTACTTTTGTTATAATGGAACTCAAAAGAATACCCAATTGTGAATCCACGATTCACCTACGTGTTGACTCCCTGAGATCTAGCTGGCAGCAAAATTTCAGGTGCAATGATACAGTATTTATTCTAGAATCACTGAGATAACTCAGAATTTTGGGTTGTTTTTTTGTACTAGTAACTGTTATGAGTAAATGATTTACTGCACAACAGATGACTTCTCTACTTACATTTTTTGATTAATTGCTAAGTGAGTATTCACAAAGAGCTGAATCAGATCCCCATTAGAAGTATATTGCTATAGTTCCATGATATTCATTTATCCTATGAATACATATTTTCTATGTGAACTCTATCTTTGAAAGAATACCTGTTACATGAAACAGTATATCACGAGTACATCAAAAGATAGGATTATTTTTATATTCTGTTAATTTCAGAGCAATCGGCATCTTGCTGTCCTTTAAAAAAGCACTTTTCTAATGGAGTTTTGTGTGTGTAATAACTGCAACATCAGACTCAAAGAATAAGTCAAACTTTCAAACTAGACCAAAGAACGTAAAGTACAGGTAGTTAATAGTGAGGTTTTTTTTTTCCCTTTTTTCTTTTTTTTTCCAAATTATTCACCCATACTTACTGTGTCGCTCTCTAGAATTCATGGATCATTATTCTTTGTAGCTCATTTTTTCTTCAGTGTAAGATTGTGGGATGAAGTCCACATTCTGAAATTACACACAAATATGTTATAAAAATGGAGTGTTTGAAATCAATTCTAATGTTAAATGCAAAGGACATTCTGGGCTCATTAAGTAAAAATATCTCATTTAATGAGCAGGAAAGCACTGGAGCACACTGAACCCTGACACAAAGCAAATTATTTAAGTGATAAATTATATTTTATGGGGAATGTAAAAGTTAATAATACTCAGGGGTAAGGTAATAAATGCAGAGGTGTAACTAACTTCATTGACTGCTTTACTTACAAACATGCCATATGTACCTGGTTACTTGAAATAGTAATAAAAGGAATTGGCAGAAACTCCTGGAACCCAAGATTCACGCAGAGACCTTTGTAGCATTCTTTTTGACTAAACAATGTGTTTTATTCTTTTCAAACTCATTCTCCTCCCTCTTTCACTTTAAGATATATACCTCCAGTCTTTGCTTTTCACTTTCTGTCAAATATTTGATCTTGCATTCATTAAAACTAAAACCTTCTTATCTACCAGGGAGGCTAATAAAATCAGTGCTCATTTACCTGCAATGATGCCCCAGAAGTGACCTAAAACTTTACTTGAGGAGAACCAATTTATGCTGAAAGAAAACAGTGGATCAACTGTTAATCTACTGCCCTTCTAACACACACAGGTTCAGTGGCACTGAATCTCCTGCTGTTATTGTTCAGTGAGATCAATGAAGTAGATGAACTCAGTGAGGATACAGCTCACAAATACACGTCTGTACATTAGAATAAGGGGTTTTAGCTTGAAGTTAACTATCAGAGTTAAAACCCTTTCGCTATATTTTTAAACGGCTAGAAGAGATGCTGAAGGTATGTAACAAGTACAAATCAACTGAGGAGCATGCAAGATTAAAACTACCTCCTATGACTACTTCCTTAATCTTAAAATGGAATTTGCAATACTAACATTGTCTTTTCTTTTTCTCTCAAATTTTATTGTATTTTTACATTTCCAGGTCAACAGCCAGACCTTTATTCTCACTGACGCATCTAGGAAGTGAATATAATATCAGTGTACCTAATGTTAACCCTGATTTGGTACAATTTGTATATGGACGGGATGGTCGTTCACACAGCAAGAGCCAGAAACCTTCAGCAGAGCTGGAGTACAAAAGCAATCTAATGAATCACAAAAAGGATGAATTTCCACTGCATCCAAGATTATCTATATATGTGCAATTTTTCTCTAGGAATAAGATTTGGCATTCAATCTTGAACTAAGTCAACTTCACCTTAGCCTACTTTTTAGTTTGCATCTTTAAATAGTCTTATAGTCTTGTGATGCGGTCAATGATCTTGAAACCATTTGAGTGAGCTCAATACCTCCCTTTGAATTCATACAGCCAAAGTATATACAACAATGAAAGTGTTTCTGAACAGGTCCCGTATAAAACAAACCTGTAGGGAAAAAAAAAATAACAAAAAAAAAAAAAAAAAAGCCCTGATCCAAATTGTTCCTTGAGCTCTACTAACCAACAGTAAATGTGATATATAAGAGATCATTTTCCAGCAGAAAAGATATGCCTATGACAGATAATGTAACTAGAAATACAACCTAGAAATAGTCTAGAGACCTACAGTGATTGCCCAGAGTTACTTGTAAAATAGTCAGTCCGCATGTCTGCCAAGAAATAGCAGGCAAAGGCACATCCAGACAGATTATAAATTCTCAAATACATGTTTGACCAACTTATTCTCTCCTTCTAAATACACATTTAACTTAAGATTCAAAAAGCACGTAACATTAACTAAAAAGTTCATATTTCACAGGTGTTTTTGAAGCCTGTGTTTTGAACAGTAGATGAAATTTCCAACTAATCCATTGACTCCAGAAGCCAGGATTTGCCAGAAAACTTTGAATATTGTAAGCATTGTGTGTTAGAAGTACCAAGAGTATGAGCAGATGTATATACATATTATTTTAAACGTTTTATTGAAGTATTTAGTAAATTAAACTAGAAATGTCTTGCATCATAATCCAGTGCTACAGCAAGTAAAGAAGACATACATGAGACTTCTACTACAGCTCAGAATGAAGTTGCCATTGAAGGTCAGACTGCCGAAATGGCTGATACATCAATTCTTGTACTCCTGTCAATATAAAGATGCTAAAATGTATAAAGGGGCCAATATCCAGATCCTTGGGAAATCTCATGGTAAGAGCCTTTCCTCTGTTTGAACTGTCTTTCTCCTGGCTTTAAACCAGTTCTACGGTCAATAGTCTTTGTACCTGGGAAATACTTCCATGTTTTTGTTTTTCAAACTTCCAGGCTATCAAATATCAGATAAAGAGGATATGTGTATATATTTATTTATTTATTTATTTAAAATGGAGAAGAAACACATCCCTGAAGGAGCAAGGTATGCCTCTTATATACTTAGCAAATATTTTAAGTTTTTCCAAAATTACTTCAGATCCAGACATGGCAGGCTCCTCTATTTAAAATAATAATAATCATTAATGGCAAAATGTAACTTTTACCTGCAATTTTCAGATTGCAAGTAAAGTAGATTTTAGATTGCAGTGTGCACATAGTTAAGGTATGGAAGATCACCACACTAATGGTCTTCCCAGGAAAGGATTGTTCCTTTCTGTCAAGGTGATGCTACTAGGAACTGCAGTGAATAAACAATATTTTTAATGCAGAATTTGCTCCCGATATCTTTCATAGCAAGTACATTTTTTAAGAGAGAGAGAGACCAAAAAATAATTTCCCTCTTTAAAGCATGAATGAACTGCCTATAGAAATATTCTTGTGAAGTTCTTAGACTAGATTCTATTAGGGAGATAGATGAACGTCAAGTTTTCCTTACAAGGTGGGTAAAACAGCAATTTTCTCTGAAATTTCTTTTAAAAAATTAAAAATAAAACAACAACAAAACATGTTGCACTTCTCCTCAGAGAACTTCAAAGAGATGCAGGGAGTAAAGAGGCTGCATAAAGCCGGGAAGCCAAGGGACAGAAGGGCTCAGCATGTTCTCTGCTGAACTTCCCCATGAACTTACAGCACACTTGATAACAAAAATGATGTCTTCTGAGTCTTTCTAACCAGTAGATGTTGCTATCTCTACTTCTCCAAACATTGCATTTATGTTTTCAGTTACATGTAGAATAACTAATGTACTGGTGCCAGTCAGATACTTTATATCACCAAACCCCCACAAGCAAATTTGTTTTACACAGCAGTTGAATGAAAAACATCCTGTAGAGAGTGCAAACGCAAGGGAATGAGAACAGAAAACAGCACTAGCAACATGATTTAAATTAATTAAGTGAGCATTAATACCTCCAAGACATTGCCTTATTGGTTCATATACTTTGTGGGAAAAGCTGTAATTTACATGTACGATACTTTTAACACCATCTATTAATTAGATATATATGGTTACTCTGTTTAATTGATACTGTAAACAAAAGACCCATTTGAAAACATATGCTGCAATAATTAAAATGCTATTATGCTGACAGTGCCTTTCTTTGAGGAACTTGTAACATCTGTATTAACTGTGATAAGCATTGATTATCTGGAATGATATAAATATTTGGGGAGCTAATAACAATCAGGTAGGGTTTCAGTGCATGCTATAGACAGCAGAGATAAATCACAGGAAATCTAGATCAAAGTTGGTTTGTGAATAAGTTTGTTTTTGTACTTAATGACTCAATATAAAACACACACACAGAAAACTCTTCAGAGATTTAAAGCACACGGAAATGCCATAAAGAAACATCCCATCCTGTGCCGCATTTCTGTACATCTGTAGAATCTCCCTGTGCAGTGTGTAGGATGTCAGCACACAAAAAGGGGAATAAGTTCAATCCATCAAGTACATTACATCAAGTACACTAAGTTCAATACATCAAGTACATATGCACATTTACCAACATTAGACGTTTCTTTGAATTATTGGGCTTTTTTTTTTTTTTTTGAAAGGCAGAAAAAAAGTATGTAACTCTCATGCCTTCCCCTTGGGAAGGTTAAATTAGTGATGCAATAGGTTAACTGCAATCTAGTTCCCATTCAGAATGGGTCAGCTGCATCTTGGTTCTGAGTCAGATACTTATTTGTTCCGAGTTACTTTCATTACCACAAACTGCAGCGAGGGCTTACATTACTTGCTGTGGTCCTTTAAAGGTGACTTTTTCCTTCCTGCTCTGACATCCCTCTGTATAAACCCCCACTTCCTTGGTCCTGGTACCTATCCTCCCGAAGGCTCTCAGGCTTTCTGGAAGAGATGCAGGCTTAAGACAGACTCCTGGTAAGAGGCAAGATGACCTCAACCTCAGTGGAGTTGAAAGGGCACAACTGAAAGCAGGATCTGCTCTGTATGTTCATTAAAGACAATTTTTACTGCCACTCTGTATCCTTCTTTGCACATAAGACAAGTGCTCATTCCTGCAAATAAATGAAGGAGAGCACCAGAAACTGTTTGGGAATACACACAGCAATATGTGCTGATGTACAGGAGTAAGGGCTGAAATCCCATGACTGAACCTGACTTCAGGACTTTGTGCTGCTGCTCTTGAGGCCAGTACTGGTAAAACATGAAGAGCCTGGCACATCAGTGGGACTCTGGCCCCAGTAATAAAATGGGTGCTTTTTGCTGACAATTATGGGACCACGTTTTTACTCTAAATGACTGGGTCCAAACGTGCCTGATTTCAAGTGACTGAGAAGCCCTATTGACTACCCATCCCCATAGGACTTCCCACATACTTGTGATCAGGAAAGAAGCCCAGTTTATGTAAACCTTTGCCCATGAGTCAGGGTTGAGTAAACAAAGACTTTTCCATATTTTCTGCAAGCATTCCACTGTTAATACACAGCATGCGACATTTGTTTCTTATTAAGTTGTATTTTCATTTCTTTGCTCTTGTAATTTAGGTCTTTCTAACACTCTTTGTTTAATTCTTTTTTTAAGCATTGCATTAACTTGCCTTCCTATAACCTCTGTACAGCTTTCTCTGTGATTGTTGTA